TGCAGGGGGGCGATGACGACGAGGGGTGAAGCCTGCCATCGCTCGGACGTCCATTCCCTGTGCTTTTCTCGGTTTCGTGCGTGGTTTTTCGCAGGATGATCCAGGATGCTCCTCGATGGTCCCCGCCAAGAAAAAAAACGCACACGTCCGAGCGATGCCAAGGAATGACACTGAGGGCCATGAAGGAGCTTTCTGAGGTTTTCGTGGAAGTCCGGAGGTTTGTTAACAGGGTTTAGGGGAAAAGCGGAGTGCGAGGAAGTTCTGGGGGGGAGGATGGGGGGGAGAACGGGCAGGATGACCATACTGAGCTCAACACGCGCCACTTATATTGCAATGCATCGTCCAGTCCCCAATCCCCTCCAGATAGATAAGTTCAGGTATCACTTTGGCGAGCGCCCGCTGGAAAGTGAAGCTGTCCAAAGGGCCTGTCACGCTTTCGAAAGCTATTTATGGAACGGTACCTGTGGCCTCGCCAGAGGTCGGGTACTTGGAAGGCCAGAGATGTCAGACTCACATGGCCCTACCAAGGAAGTGGCAACAGAGTGGAACAGTGACAACTTTAAGTTTTACACTGCGAACCAACTCTCACATCAACGCTCGATCGCTGAGCGTGGCGGACACACGATTCGCCCTTCGTCCCTGTGGCAAGTATACATTTTGAGAAATGATCGCGTGCCGCCGCAATTAACACAATACTTCGACAACGACCCGCCTTCAACGTGTTCAGGTGTTGGTGTTTTTTTAAGTGTGTGGCCCTGAATGCGAATAGATCCCGAACGGAGATCAGATGTTGGCATCCACCCAAGTACTACCCGCGTACCAATTGTCACGTTCATGGTTTAGAAGCTCAATGCGTGTGAATGCCTCGAAAGAAAAGTTTAAACTTCAGAGCGAGCCGCTCTCCATCCATGTTACTCGCTGCTAGAGCTTGAAAGCTTCGGACAACACAGTGATGCATTCCTTACATCGAGAAACAACCGAAACTGAGATCCATTCGGGGAACAGTCGTCTCAGGACAACGGACGAGGGGCATAAGGAATATGATGGGGATCAGAGGGACGATGGGGAGAAGCAGGTAGGGATCATGATGACGATGTTTATGCTGATGCTGATGCTGCTGCTGCTGCTGCTGCTGCTGATGATGATGAGGACTCGGGTGATAGCGATGGTGGTGATGATGGTGATGACGATGAGGAGGAGGAGGAGGAGGAGGAGGAGGAGGAGGAGGAGGAGGAGGAGGAGGAGGAGGAGGAGGAGGAGGAGGACGAGGAGCAGGAGGAGGAGGAGGAGGAGGAGGAGGAGAGGGAGGAGGGGGAGGAGGAGAGGGAGGAGGGGGAGGCAGAGAGCCAGGAGGAGACCAAACCTGGCGGCCCGGCGGCAGTGGGCGCAGCACTCCAAGCATCACCAAGGCGAGGGGGTCGAACGCCTGAGCTCGCCCCTGCGCGCGCGCCTGGAAGGAGAGGCGCTGCGCGTGGGGGGCGCGCAGAGGGGCGTCGCGCGATGAAGGCGCTCGGGCGGGAACGGAGGCCCCGCGACTGGAAGGAGCCACGCGTTTCGCGTCCAGGGGGAAGTGCCGCCTGCGCAGCGCACCGTTCTGCCGCACCCTGCAGTTGTGTGGGAGCGATTCAGAGGCCGCGCGGGAAGCCGTGGGAGTCCCCTGTCTGGGCCGGTCCAAACTCCAGTCCCTCCTCCCCCCTGGTTCTTCCTCCTGGACTCCAGTACTCTTCCCTCCTCCCGATTCCCCCCTCCCCCCCCTCCTCCACCTCCTCCTCCTCCTCCTTCTTCTCCGCGTCCTCCCTGTTTTCACCCCTCCTCCCTGACGAGGACGACGGCGAGGACGAGGCTGACGAAGACGAGGGCGAGGATGAGGATGTAGAGGATGTTGTGGATAATGAGGATGATGAGGATTATGATGATGATGACGATGATGACGATGATGATGATGATGATGATGATGTTGATGATGATGATGATGTTGATGGTGAGGAGGAGGATGAGAAGGAGGAGGAGGAGGAGGAGGAAGAGGATCCGAGTAGGAGGAGGAGGAGGAGCAGGAGAAGGATGATAAGGAGGAGGAGAAGGAGGAGGAGGAGGAGGAGGAGGAGGAGGAGGAGGAGGAGGAGGAGGAGCGAGCGCATGAGGGGACGCGCCGAGTCGGGAATCGGGACAGAGAGCAACGATTGGGAAAAGGTGAGAACGCACAATCACTCGCAGACTGAATGGGGAACACGAGAAGGCAAGCCCAACCATATCCCCTCGCACGAACCCGACGACGGGCCCATGCCGAAGATACAGGCCAGGAGACTGGCCTGGGCTCGGGGCCGATCGAATCACCAGGCCCCGCACAGAGAAATTAAGAACAAAACGAATTGAACCGAATTCAGGTAGCTAGGCCAAGCCACTCCACAGCGGGGTCTGAGACCAACATGCGCCGAGGGAGGGGGATGGGGTGCCTGCGACCCTCGCTGGGGTGACGCCCTTCGGCGAAATTATTCCGCCTCCATTTCCTCTGAGGGTTCCCCTCAAAGGCTTTGGGGCCCTCGCATTCATTATAAAGCTGGGATCTGTGAGCACGCTCCGAAAAGGATCCGCAGCGCATGCATCCAACCACGTCGCCCGCACGGTAGAGCACGTGGCCTCGAGAGGCCTGAGGAGGGACCGTCCCCTCCGCGGGGAGCACCGTGCTGGGAGGGGCGGCGTTGGCCCTCGTGGTGGCCGCCGCCAAGCGGGGGCGCTTCTCCGAGCCAGTCGGGGGATCAAGGGCGACCGTGGCTTCCCTAACGCGAGTCTGGACTGGCGACTCAAACTGCACTCTTGGCTTGACCCTACGGGGGGGTCGAATGAAAGCCTCAGCCTCCTCGTCCTCAGGCCTCCTAGTTTTGCCCACAATCTGAACCCTCGGGCTCGGGTGGGGAGGAGGAGGAGGAGGAGGAGGAGGAGGGGGAGGAGGAGGAGGAGGAGGAGGAGGAAGGTCAGAACACGAGGCAGGGGGGGAGGGAGGGTCCCCGCGCAGCACCTTCCTCCCAGGGCCGTCCTCGTCAAGTCCGCCTTCCAGGCCGACAAGGCATCCCAGGGGCCTCTTGAGGGCCTGTCGGGGGCCGTGGGGCGGGCTTCGCGGGGTCGCCTCAGGGCAGGACTGGGGCACTGGGACCTGAGGTTCCGGGGGGCGGTGCGCTGTGCAAACCTCGAGGGCCAGGCGCTTCCGTCCAGATGCGGTCCGCGCGAAGCGCTGACAGTATTTACATTTCCATCCTCCAGCCAGCGCTGGCCTGACGTCGTGCAGGCGCTGGCTCAGTGTCAGAACTGGCTGCTGTCGTCCAGGCCGACGTCTTTGCTGGTGTCGTCGACGTGGCTTGCGTACAGGCGGTGGCTGCCGGTCCTGATTCCCAACCAACGTCATGGAGGACCCAATCCAGCACGCCACCTGCCTGGCAATGTTGAGCATGTTCGAGTGGAGCTGGCTGGCTTCCGACGGCAAAGCGTGCATAGCCAGCCCCCTCTTCGCTGCAACATCTGCATAGTCGTTGCCCTTCTTGTCTACGCTTATCTCTTCTTGAGTCTGGTGCGATCGAACATAGGAGATCTCCAGCTGCGGGGACAATCCCCCATGATCCTGGATGGCCTGCCATAGCAATCTCCACAGATCACAATTCGGCCTGCGCGGGTGTGTGCACCGCTCAGGCCCGCTCATGATGCCCTCCACGGTGCCCAGGCAGTCCGTACGAATATGCATGGGCAGCATCCCATGTCGTAGAGCTTGAATGACCGCGTATAATTCAGCTCGCGGTGCTGATTGTTGGTGTCCTGGTAGTGGTCCATACGCAATCCCTCGTAGTGTCTGGCCTGTCATCATCGCAATCCCCCAGCCTGCTCTGTTGGCCTCAGGCCAAGCTATGGGGGAGAGCCCTGAACCATCCGTGTAGATTTCACCCGTCAGCATGGTCATGTCGCCTCCATGTGCAAACCTCCATGAGTCCACCATGGCTGGTGGCGGAATAGCAGGCAGGGCGTCCCTCGGCATCAAGCCCCTGGTGAACAAGAGGTCGTTGTGAGGTGAGGCTCGATCTGCCTGGATAGTGTCAGCATCAACTGCAGCTTCTCCTTCTTGCTGGAGCAAAGGGCAGGACCAGAGACGGTGATGTACTGTTCCAGGGCAGTCCATCCAATATTGGCACAAGTTGCCAGCAGCGTATCCATGTTTATATAGTCGAGCTTGGGACCATTGACCCCCAATGATCGAGGTGCGTAGTGCTGCTCGAGCCTGCTCTGACAAGTGCCACTTCTTGGCCAGCTCCTTCGGTGCCAGCAACATCTTGAGCGGGCCCATCCAGTAGCCACACGGTCTCCTGATTGGTGGGTCGTCCTCTGGCGCATGATCCTTCTGGCGACTCCAATCTTCAAACTTCACGTTGATAAAGTCCCGTCTTGCTAGAACTCTGAGCCATTCAGGGCTGTCAGTAGTGAGGTCCAGGTCTATGCCTGAGCACGTAGTCCATGTCGTCGCAGTCGTCACACGCCAGTTGATAGCATGAAGTGCCACCAAGACGGCCCCTGCTGGGCCAGCTACGTCAGCGTGCTTCGGGGTAGAACCTAGTATCTGGCGCTGCTGCATGAAAACCTTTTCCAGCACGTAGTTGGGCACCTTGGTGTCCTGGACGAGCATGGCCCACGTATAAAGGGGGCCCACAGTCGCCATCATCTCAGGGTGCTCAAAGAAACGCGGCTCGAGCTGAGCAGCCAGCCAGACTGAAGTGCCAGGAGGAGTGCGCCGCCAGCCCACGCGAACCATACTGACCATCGACTTGATCAGCGTCTTGGTGGCGCCCACGATCTGGATGCCATACTGCATGGCAGGGGCAATGCATGGCTGCGCCACCGCTCGCCCGATCTTGGCCAGTAGATTGAGCCTCCTGATGCGCGGGAGCCTCTTCTTCATCTTGCGCACCCTCTTGCGAATCGTTTCGAAGCTCAGCCTGTGCCCTCCTTTAGCTTCCATGCCG